TCAGTTCTGCCCAAGCAGTTGCTCTCTGAGAAAATCACTCAAGTGTCAGAATATGACACCTGGCATAGTCAAACAGACTCCAGACAGGTGCATGACAATGGAGACTCCCGGCCCAGTGATATGAAGAGCTAAAGGTGACCTGGAATCTGTATTTTCACATCAGCATTTTATAGCGGAGGTTAGATTTGGAATCACTGCCCACCTCCTCATTGGAATCCTTCTCCACCATGCCCTTCATCCATGCTGCTCCTCCTGGTAATTTCCAGCTCCCTAGTCTTTGGGCATCTTGCTAGTCCCTTACACCTTCACACCTTAAAGTTTCCTCCTCATTTTGTAATATTTATTAGGTGCCAATAATATGCCAGGTACTGAGGCAGGCCCTTTATCTCCACCTTTATAATAACCCTCTAAGGAAATAATTCTGATTCCTGATTTACAAATGAAGATGTCTCCCTTCCTCATCCTCTGCCTGGCTCTCTCTGGCTCCCATACCCACAGCTGCACTGAACAGATCATTTGCAGTGATGTGTGTGGTAACTGCATCAGTTCCACCCTGTGTTCCCTGGGCAGAAGAGCCAGGATTCAAAGACTGGCATGTCTAGTTCTAAAGCCTGTGCCCAGAGTTCATGGATCACACTTGCCACACTTGCCACACTTTCTTCCTAGCACAGTAGCTGGAAAATAGCAAGTACTCAATAAATATTTGTTAGTGAGTAACTGAATGAATAAATTAATGAGTCTATATTTACACTTTCTCCCATCTTTCCATACCCAGCTCACATGCGCGCGAGTGCGCGCGCACGCCCTCTCCCTCTCCCTCTCCCTCTCCCTCTCCCTCTCCCTCTCCCTCTCTCTCTCTCTCCCTCTCCCTCTCCCTCTCCCTCGCCCTCTCCCTCTCCCTCTCCCTCTCCCTCTCCCTCTCCCTCTCCCTCTCCCTCTCCCTCTCCCTCTCCCTCTCCCTCTCCCTCTCCCTCTCCCTCTCCCTCTCCCTCTCCCTCTCCCTCTCCCTCTCCCGCTCCCTCTCCTCTCCTCTCCCTCTCCCTCTCTCTCTCCTCTCCCCTCTCCTCTCTCTCCTCTCCTCTCCTCTTTCCTCTCCCCACTCTCCTCTCCTTCCCTCTCCCTCTCCCACTCCCACTCCCTCTTCCCCTCCCCCTCCCCCTCCCCCTCCCCCTCCCTCTCCCTCTCCCTCTCCCTCTTCCCTCTCCCTCTCCCTCTCCCTCTCCCTCTCCCTCTCCCTCTCCCTCTCCCTCCTCCCTCTCCCTCTCCCTCTCCCTCTCCTCTCCCTCTCCCTCGCCCTCTCCCTCTCCCTCTCCCTCTCCCTCTCCCTCTCCCTCTCCCCTCCCTCTCCCCTCCCTCTCCCTCTCCCTCTCCCTCTCCCTCTCCCTCTCCCTCTCCCTCTCTCTCAGGATTTAACCTCTGGGCCATTTCCTTTCCTTCCTACCTGGCTTCTCCCTGCATGTCCAGTCACTGCCCTCTTAAGCCCCACTTGGATGGTGACTCTTGAGACTCTGCTCCAATTCATGGTTACCTTACCTTATCTTACCTCTCAAGTGCCATAGTGGCTAATCCTGACAGTCACCAAAGAGCCAAATTGCTCCCAAAGATTCAGCAGTAGAAGTGCTGACTTCTCTGTGACCCAAGGCAGAGAGCAGAAGCCTGGACTAGGACTGGCCCTAAGTTTACCGGGAGTCTGAAACTCCCTTCTCCTCCTTCTCCCCTTTCTTCCCCTTCCAACAGCAACTGAGAACCAGGTCCTGAAGGCAGGAGGAGGGGATCCCTTGATTTGAGGGTTTTTTGGTGAAATAGGGGGTCCCCTTGGAGCTCGGAGCCCTGCTCAGAGAAAGCAGGTGGGATTGGGAAGTGGGATTTCTAGAAGGCTTGCATATGGGAAGATGAATTGTCAACCATTTCACCAGCTCTCCTAGAGTTATTCCTGTCTCGAGCCATCTGCTTATCCATTGCAATCTTGTAACAGAGAGCTCCTAGACCTCCAGCCAATATTTGTTCAAAGAATAAATAACAAAGGCTACCATTTATAGATTACTTGCTGCATGGCAGACACCATGTTATCTCATTTAATCATTTCAACAACTCTAAGAGGCCAGAATTATTACTAACGTTATTTTACAAATGAGGAATTAATTCAGAAAGCTTAAGCAACTGCCCCAAGGTCCCACCACCACTTAAGTGATGAAGTTGAACTGAGCTCTGGTCAGTTCCAAGTTCCCCTTTCCCTCCCATAGTGCTGTTCGAGGAAGGAGGCTCAGACTAAGATGCTGTTATATTGACTCTGTAGGAATTTATTTTTTAGACATTCCAACCTAAAGCTGGTAGTGTGTGTATATAAAGTGACTCTCCTGTAACCCCTAGAGTGGTTAGTAAGCATCCGAAATGCCCTAATCAGGAATCCGCACTCCAGAAAATGGTTACATAAGCACTTCAAACATCAGAATATACACCCAAGGGCTTAATGTGCTTGAGGGATGCTAGAAATAGTCTTTCATTGGTGAAATAAGCAGTTTCAAAACATGGAGTTGCCCAGGAAGATTATTTGCCCTTGCATGAATGGGGTGTGAGAGCCAGACGAGGCCAACTGCCCCACTTTCTTGAAGCAAGCTGTGCAACTGTTTTGTGCCAGCTTGCCAATACATGTATACTTGGTAGAATTTGGCCTTAGCCATTTTTAATATCCCACCTGCAGGAGATTACAGAAAAGAAGACAAATGGCCTCCACTTGATTCTCATGTCCCACGGCAGGTAATACAATCACCAAAGGACCAAATTAGCTCAGATCAGTTGACAAGTCCCCATCCCGGCTTCATCTCCTTTCACAAGAGGGCCCTGGCAGATCTTTCAACTCAGGTACATGATGGCTTTTCTTTCTGTCTCTCTGCTCTATCCTCCATTCTCCTTTGTCAGGTCACTTGTAATAATAAGCTAATATCCAAAGAAAGGGGCTCTAGGGATGATTGTGAGTAGCTACCTGGGAGGCTGAGGCAGAAGAACTTCTGGATCCCAGGAGTTGTAAGCTGCAATGAGCTATGATTGCCACTGCATTCTAGCTTAGGCAACAGAGCAAGATCCTATCTCAAAATAAATAGAAACAAGAACTAAAAATATATAATTAGCCAGGCATGGTGGTGCATGCCTGTAATCCCAGCTACTTGGGAGGCTGAAGCATGAGAATCGCTTGAATCCAGGCAGCAGAGGTTGCAGTGAGCTGAGATCGCACCATTGCACTCCAGCCTGGGCAACAAGAGCAAAACTCTGTCTCAAAAAGAAAAAAGCTGTAATTTGCCCAAGGTCACATAGCTAAAAAGTGGAAGAGACATAACTGAAACTCAGTCCTCCTAAATTCCTAATATAGGGTTCAGCCCACTTCTGCCACCCTCCCACAGACTAGGGGCCTGCTCAGAGCTGGGCAAGGTGGGATGCACTCTGTGGCCCCAAACTCACTGAAACTAACAACTGAGCTGAAAACATGTGGAGTCTCTTCTGCCTTCTTCAGAAGTCACCAGCTATAGATAGGGGAGAGCATATTCCTCCCATTCCATTCTCCATGGTGCGTCCCTTTTTACTATATAACAAAGTTATATTAAATGAGTTCTGGGCTGAGGTGCGGTGGCTCATCCCTATAATCCCAGCATTTTGGGAGGCTGAGGCAGGACGATTGCTTGAGTCCAGGAGCTTGAGACCAGCCTAGTCTCATAAGTGAGACCCCATCTCTACGAAAAAAAAAAAAAAAAGCTGGATATAGTGGCATATGCCTGTAGTCCCAGCTGTTCAGGAGGCTGAGGTGAGAGGATTGCTTGAGCCCAGGAGTTCAAGTTTCAGTGAGCTCTGATTGTGCCACTGCAATCCAGCCTGGAGTACAGAACAAGAACCTATGTGTAAACAAAAAAAAAAAAAATGAACTAATGAATGTCTCCTTAGCAAAATCCAGAGAACTAGCTTTCGGGCTTCCCTAGGCAACTTCTGGAATGTTAAAGTGGATAGCCAGAGCATTGTCCCACAGAATGGGTCTAATCTATCCCAATCCCCATGAGCTATAAAGCCATCTGCAGGTTCAGCCATTGGAGTCCCATTGGCCCAGTTAAACTTTCTCTTTTAGCCTCCTGCCCTACCAGCTTTCCTTAGTGTCAGGGCTCTCGAAAGTTCTCGGGTGAAAATTGCCTGGGGAACTTGTTAGATGGGCAACTTCACGCCCCACCCCCAGAGATTCAGATTCAAACCTGGGCTGGGGGTGTTCTTTGTGGTGCCTGGGATGAGTCTTCCAAGAACCATTTGGAGAAACAGGCCCTGCTGGTATTTTGTTTCAGTTCAGGCCTTGACTGACAGAGAGCCTGCAGGGTTGAGGAGGAAGGCTGTTTTGAAAGGTGGAAGTTCGAGTCCAGCCTGGGCAATATGGCGACACCAAAAAATAAGTATACGTAAGCAAGCAAGTTACTCTCTGGGCTGCCGTGACTTATTTTTTCTTTTTCCGTCTGCAAATTGCAACTCAAATAAGGTTTTATCTGCCAGACTGAAAGAAGGACTTCTGTTCCAAATACCCAGGCGTTACATTTCCCACAGGTGGCCAGACAAATGCTGGAACCTTTGGAGGAGAGGGTCTGGTCTTGTCCCGCATCCCGCGAGGGTCTCCCGCTCTTTGGGGCCAAGCAGATCTCCGGGGTGCCCTGGTCGCCCCTTGCGGCAGTTGGTGCGGCCTCTTCAGAGAGCCCTGGGCCGCCGCCTGGGACACCCCACCGCCCTCTCCGCAGCCCCAGGGACGAGCCCAGCGGTGCGGAGAGGTGGGAGGCTGGAGCCTGCTGAGGTCATTTCCTGTGCCTCTCCGCGAGCTGCCTGGAGAGCCCAGCGCTCTGCCTTTAAGGAGCGGGCGGGGAGTCGAGGGGAGGAGGGCGCCCGGCGGAGCGTTGAATGGGGCGCCGCAAGGCACGGCCGGGCTTTGTGCAGCGAGCCCGCGGGCACCCCTCCCTCTCCGGCCTTGCCCCGCCCCGCCGCCTGCGACCCCTGCTGCCCAGGAGCCGAGAGCCAGCGGCCGCCCCAGACTCGGGCGAGAGCGACGCAAGGTCGGCGGCGGCGGCCCGAGGGCGCCCGTGTGCCCAGTGCGCGGTGAGGACGGCCGCGAGCTCGCTGGAGGTGAGTGACCCGCGCGCCCACCACGAGGGTGGGCTAGGGCTGTGCTGCGGGGGAGGGCGTTAGACTGCATGCGGGGCCCCTCCGGCCGGGAGGACAATCCGGAGCAGGTGCTTTCCTACCTGGAAGCGAGCTCCTGGCGGTGGGGAGCGCTGGAGCGCGGGTCCGGCTTGGCGAGCCGGGTGTCCCTGGGGACCCGCGCCGCAAGGCCAGGAGGAGCCTCCCCCCAGGAGGACCTGGAGTTGGGGACTGGCTCGATCCAGTAGCTCCTGGGAAGGGCCCTCGGTGCAGGGTGCCACCTTGCTATTGGTGCTCGCACCCTTTCACCCCTCCCCACCTCACCTTAGGTTATTTCTATGTGATTTCTAGGTGTTCTTAGGGACCCTATGGCTCAGGCTCGACTGCTAGAACAGATCAGCCAAGTAGAAAAGAGAACAGGTTAGGCGCCGAATGACAGAGCATTGTGTCCTAGGAGTCTTAGCGAGAACTCTGTCTCCAGGAACCAGAGGCCTTAGTGGCGGTGGCAGAAGCGGTGAAGACCCTCAGGAAGGAAACTCCTCTCCCTGTGGGATTTCTGCCTGCCAGGATATCTCCTCCATAGCTTTTACTGTGAATCCACCTCGTAAAACTCTTCCGGGACAGAGCCTTTGGTTCAGCTAAAACGCTTGAAAGACCATTTTAAAAATTCAGTGGAAGAGTTATCAGTTACTCCATCAAACTTTTTGGACTGTCTTCTATGTGACACACACCGTGTATTGGACTGGTGCCATTTCTTAACATTTGATGGAACGTCGGTATTAGTGTATCTGCGTATTATTAGCCCCATTTTCCAAGGAGGAAACGAAGACTCTGAAAAGTTGTGATTAGGCCAGTTGCAGTGGCTCATGCCTGTAATCCCAACACTTTGGGAAGCCAAGGCAGGAGGAAAGCTTGATGCCAGGAGTTCGAGACCAGCCTGGGCAACATAGGGAGACTCTAATGTTTACAAATAAATAAATGGCCGTGCACGGTGGCTCACGCCTATCATCCCAGTACTTTGGGAGGCCGAGGCGGGTGGATGGATCACGAGGTCAAGAGATCGAGACCATCCTGGTCAACAAGGTGAAACCACATCTCTACTAAAATAAAAAATTAGCTGGGCATGGTGGTGCACGCCTGTAGTCCCAGCTACCTGGGAGGCTGAGCCAGGAGAATTGCTTGAACCCGGAAGGTGGAGGTTGTGGTGAGCTGAGATCGTGCCATTGCACTCCAGTCTGGGGTAACAACAGCAAAAGTCCGTCTCAAAATAAATAAATAAGTAAATAAATAAAAATTTAAAAATGAGCTGGGTGTGGTGGTGTAGGCCTGTAGTCCCAGCTACTTGGGAGGCTGATGCAGAAGGATTGCTTGAGCCTAGGAGTTCAAGGCTTCAGTGAGCTATGATTGCCACTGCGTTCTAGCCTGCGCAACAGAGTGAGATCCTGTCTCTTAAAAAAAAAAAAGTTGTGACTTCCCACGGTCACATAGCTAAAAATTACAAGAGGCATAACTGAAACCCAAGCTTCCTAAATTCCTAATGTAGGGTTTGATCCACTTCTGCCACCCTCCCACAGACAGCCGTGGGGGCCTGCTCAGAGTTGGGCAATGGTGGGGTGCACCCTGTGGCCCCAAACTCATTGAAACTAACAACTGAGCTGAAAACATGTGGAGCCTCTTCTGCCCTCTTCAGAAGTCACCAGCTATAGGGGAGAGCATGTTCCTCCCATTCCTGCCAGAAAAAAAATAAATCCAAAGAAATGTCTGGCAATTTAAAGTGTATATCACTTACCCCCTAAATTCCATTTTCTATGACTTTATTCCTCAGATATACCCTGATGTATATGAAATGGTGTACATCATTGAATATTCATTGCAGCATTGTTTACTTTAGCAAAAGGTTGGAAACAACCCAGATGTCCATCAATAAGGGCTCCTTCAATAAGATCATGTAATAGCCACACAATAGGATACATTAAAGCCGTTACAAAGTGTGGAGGAAAAATGTGGCAGATATGTATACTGATGTAGGAATATTTCTAAGTTATATTGTTGAGTACAGTGTGTATGGTGTGCAACCATTTGTGTGTGTGAGTATGCCACATATGTATGAGTGTTTGTATATGCCCTGAATATCTCTGAGCACACAGAAACCTGTAACAGTTTTTCCCCTGGTTGCCTCTGGGGAGAAACAGGGCTGAAGCACAGGCATGGGAAGAAGCCTTACTTTGCACTATATACCCTTTTGTTCAATGTTCAAAAATAAATAAAATAACTTAAAAAAATCATCTGACTTTTTCTCCAGATCTCCAGAGTTAGTGAGCACATCTTTTTTTTTTTTTTTTTTTGAGCCGGAGGCTCGCTCTGTCACCCAGGCTGGAGTGCAGTGGTGTGATCTCAGCTCACTGCAACCTCCGCCTCCTGGGTTCAAGCAATTCTCCTGCCTCAGCCTCCTGAGTAGCTGGGATTACAGGCACCCCCCCCCTCACCACACCTGGCTAATTTTTGTATTTTTAGCAGTAATTTTTGTATTTTCAATTTCTCCATGTTGGCCAGGCTGGTCTCAAACTCCTGACCTCAGGTGATCTGCCTTGGTCTCCCAAAGTGCTGGGATTACAGGCATGAGCCACCACACTCAGCCTAGTGAGCACATCTCTGGGCCACATCTTCTCTTAGGTTCTGGATACTATTGGTTTGCCTTTTGTTTGCCGATATCAACAATAAGTCATTTATTGAGTACTTAGTGTGCACCAGGCTTTTGTGCTATCTCCTTTAATTCTCAAAAGCCCTGCATGATGCAATATATGAAATGGCCATTTTGAAGCTTGAAAAATTGTTAAATGTTGACAGTTCCATATGGTTCAACCAAATATTATTGTCTTCATTTTCAAATATTACTGCCCTCAATTTCAAAATGGAACTGAGTCTCAAAGAAGTTAAGCAAATGGCTTAAGGCCACAGGATTATTTAGTGCCCAAGCTCATATTCTAACCCAGGGCTGTCCGTGCCAGAGCATGGGATCTTAGGTACTAAGCTGTTTCTCTTTGATGTTTTTGTTTTCAAGGAATGTTGTACCTGGTTGTCCTGACCCCTTCTTTTGGTATTTAGGTCCCTGCGGCCTAGGACATGATCACCTTTTCTTTGTCTCCCCTGACATTTTGTGGAATGTGATGCAGGCACCCAGTATTGGTCAAATGCATGTTGTTAGCTTGATCAGATGACAATGCTGAGATCAGAAGAAGTTGTCCCTGTGTCTGCTCACACCCTTCTCTCAGCCTCATCCCCAGAAAGGGGACACACAAAGCTGTATCTTTCCCACAATGGACAGGTAGTCAGCTTTGTCTGGCAGAGCACTTTTAGGAGATGGTAGTAGCCCCTCACTAACAAGTGGAAGTCATACAGGTACTCACACTCAGGGAATGAACCATACTGAGGTAACATGAGAGAGCCCAGTGGAAATTGTACATATAACAGAAGCCCGGTTGCAGGCAATGAGCTATTTTGAGGCCTGTGGTGACCTCTGACCTCTTTCTTTTAGGCTCCTGTATTAATTAGCTACCTTTGCAGGGAGCTAGCAGGATATTCAGGCTGTAGACTTGATCCTCAAAAGCCACAAGATCTTTATTCATCTTTGTGTCCCCAATCTTGCACACAGGAATCACTTAAAAGTCATTTGAATTAAACTTAGTCTCAGGGCCGGGAGCAGTGGCTCATGCCTGTAATCACAGCACTTTGGGAGGCTGAGGCAGATGGATCACCTAAGGTCAGGAGTTCAACCAGCCTGGTCAACATGGCAAAACCTCATCTCTATTAAAAATACAAAAATTAGCTGGTGTGGTGATGCCTATACCCCCAGCAACTCAGGAGGATGAGGCAGGAGAATCGTTTGAACCTAGGAGGTGAAGGTTGCAGTGAGCTGAGATTGCACCACTGCACTCCAGCCTGGGTGACAAAGCGAGACTTCATCTCAAAATAAAATAGATGTAATCTTAGGCCAGGCACAGTGGCTCAAAACACTTCAGAAGGCTGAGGCAGGTGGATCACTCGAGCCCAGGAATTTGAGACCAGCCTGGGCACCATGGTGAAACCCTGTTTTTACAAAAATTAGCCAAGCATGGTGGTGCACACCTGTAGTCCCAGCTGCTTGGGAGGCTGAGGTGGGAGGGTCACCTGAGCTTGGGAAAGTTGAGGCTTCAATGAACCATAATTGTGCCACTGCACTCCAGCCTGAGCAACAGAGCAAGAACCTGTCTCAAAAAAAGAAAAAAAAAAAAGTAATCCTAGCATTTTGTCAGTTTCTGGTCAAATCCTCAAACTTGCCAGAGAGATCCCAGGTCAAATTTGTGTTTTCTCTGATACAGGCTCTGAGTCTGGAGTCACCTAATGACTCCCTGTGCTACCTTCCCACCCATCCTGCTCCCAGCCCCTGCCCCTGAGGCATATCCCCACTGACTGCTGTGGCATTTCAGCCCCAGGTGTTGGAGGATTCAGGGGATGCCAAAGCAGGTATCAAGACCATGGCAATCTTTCCACTCACCTGCCAAGCAGTTTAGCAGGCTGGGTACCAAAAGAATCAAGAAAACCGAGTTTTACAACACTGGCCAAGAGCTGATCATAATTTTAGCTGGATATTGGGAACATAAGGACTTATTGTACTATTCTCCCTATTTCTAATGTGTGATAGAGCATTCTAGAATAAAAGTAGAAAAAAAAATTGAGCTGAGTTTTGTTCCCAGCTCACTTCCCCTCTCTCATTTCTCCATTTATTTTTGCCATTAATGTTGTATTTGTTAGTATGAATATCTGCTACCACTATCGAAGCATCATATCTGCTACCACTATCGAAGCATCATCATGGAAAGAGGACAGTTGTAGATGTTGGGAGATCAGGATTCTTGGCCCAGCTCTGCTACTGCTTAGCTCTATGCAAGTCTCTAAGCAAGTCACAGATGTGATGAGTTTTCTCATCTGTTCGTTGTGAGTAATTGTACTTGTCCTCCATCTCGGGGATAAAGAAAGAAATAACACACGCATCGCAATGCTTTGACAAGTTACAAACTCTACTGCAAATGTAAGGTATTCATTTCTGCTCATCCTTGTGCGCTTTTTATGGGAGGCACAAGTGTAAGGTGACTTAGCAGGTGAGGCTCAGCTTACTGGTATCTTCCTTTAACCTCCCTTATTTTATAGCTGTTGCTCCAACCACCTGCTTCTGTCGGAAGAGCCTCTGGGCCTTGGGCTTGGCAGCAGCCACCTTGCTCCTGATCTGTTTCAAAACTTCTCTGCTCTCCTCACATGCCGAGGCAAGCCTTGCACGAGTCCCAACCTCCTCAGTAACTTGCCAGGGAGAGGATGGTTAATTTTCTCCATCCCCAAGGCAGGGAGAGGATTAACCAGACCACTCGATCAGTTCAGAACCACGATGTCACGGAGTTGCTTGATCAGGGAAAGCATTCCCTTAACTAAGTATAATCTCAGATATCAGGGCTAGGCAGACACCAGTGACATCTTTTCAAAGTACTTAGAGATTTTGATAATTTGGGTTTTCACTCTCCCAATAGAATCTGAGCAGCAGCTTTGACAATCAGTAAGAGGGAATCAATATTAATCAAACTCTTTCAGCTACACAAAAGGATTACATTTCCCATGCCCCTTGCTTTTATGCTTTTGCTATTATTTCTTAGCCCTGAGGTGAGTTGCAAGACTCCCAGGTTCTAGTCTCAGATCTGCCACTTTCCGTATTTATACAAGGAAAAGCAAAATCTCATTAAAGGACAAGGGAAAAACCAAACATGAAGCCTCCTGGCCTTCTCTGAGAGCCTTACAATGTTCTGTTTTGTCTTTTCAGCTGTGATCTTAGCTCAGAGAAGGTCATGTTTTGTTTTTTTCTTTTGTCTTCCTGCCCGTTCCAGTTGGTCCCAGTCTTTTGAGGTTGGGATTGCTGGGAGGTCTCAATGTAGGGATTGTTTGGATGACAGGCTGGGAGAGCAGTGCTGAAGTCATGTGTTCTGAGGAGCCAAGAACCAAGCTCACTCGGTCCATCAGTGGTTTAATTGTTGGGCTTTTCTCTGCAGGTCTTATTTTTTAGATGAAAAGTCAGGACACATGGTAAGTGTCAGTGTTTAGAGAGGTTATGATCTCAGAATATTTGAGCCCAAGATGTCTTGGAAAATCTGGGATATAGGTTCATCCTTGTGCTAAGGCTTCTAAAAGATCCTAGAAACGATTTCTGCCATTATCAAGTCTACCTCATTCTTTGTGAAACTGGAATTATTTTTATTTTTGGGGTGGGTAAAGAGCATACAGTGCCAATGAACTAGGAATTTGCAACCAGAATCCCAGCTCCACCACTAACTAGCTGTACAATTATCTGTAAATAACTTAGCTTCTCTATTCCTCAGTGTCCTCGTGTGTGTGGACAACAGTACCTACCTGTTGTTTCACAGGTTGTTGTAAGGATTAAAGAGGCCACACGTGCCTGACACACAATAAAGACTCAAATAAACAATAGCTATTTGTAGTGTATGATGGGAGAAAGATATGAATAAAAGTCACATGCAAGGGAAGAAGCACTACTGGTGATTAGCCCATCAAAGAGAGGCTAACTTTGCACTGTGGTAATATCTGGCAATGGTACAGGAGGTGGCTGGATTTTCTGAGGCCATGTGGCTCCTGGGGAAGGAAAAGGGGATTTTAAAAAGCAACAGATTTTATTGTGGAAAATTCCAGGCATATATTCAAGTAGAGAGATCATAAAAATAACTCCCATATACCCATCACCCAGCTTCAAAAATTATCAGCATTTTAAGAATCCTATTTCATATATCTCCTCCCCTACTTACCTCTTACCATGAAGTATTTTAAAACAAATCCCAGATATTATATCATTTCACCCATATATCATAAACATTTCTAACAGATGACATTTTAAAATATTATCAGCTGAGTGTAGTGGCTCACACCTGTAATTCCCAGCACTTTGGGAGGGTGAGGCAGGTGGATTCCTTGAGGCCAGGAGTTCAAGACCAGCCTGGCCAACATAGCGAATCCCCATCTCTACTAAAAATACAAAAAATTAGTCAGGCTTGGTGGTGCATGCCTGTAATCCAGCTACTCAGGAAGCTGAGGCATGAAAATCACTTGAATGAAGCCAGGAAGCAGAGGTTGGAGGTTGTAGTGAACCAAGGTTATGCCATTGCACTCCAGCGTGGGTGACAGAGTGAGACTCTCCCTCAAAAAAAAAAAAAAAAAAAACAACCTAAACAATTAAAAATTATTCCTTAAAATCATTGACTACCAGGGTGACCATGTGTCATGGTTTGGAACAGGCCAAATTTATACTTTTTGGCAAGCGTCATTCATCATAACGCCTTAGAAGGAGGATTTGAAAGATCCTGATGATGGTTGTGTCTCCCAGGCCTTCTCTCCTTCTGCTCACTCTGCCTGTATTCCTCTCTCATGCATACTCATGCGTTCTTCTTCCTTTTCTCATCCTCCATCCAGTTTTTTTCTCTAAATATGTCCAGGAGGCATCTAGGTGAATTCCGCTAGCTGGACATACTGTAGATATATAATTGATTTGTTCTGAATTTGTACAACATTTTTCCCCAAAGACTTGTGGCTTTCTCCAGAGATTGCAGCAAAATATCTAGCAGTTTTTGGTTTGCTCTTTGAACCTGAAGCAAATGGTGAGGATCGTTCCAAAGTGGGATAGATGATTCAATGATAACAACAGACAAATTCCATCTAAATAGAAGATTATCGAGGACATTCAAAGCATTATATTTTCTTTCCATTTTGTTCTATCTAACATCTTATATAGGTAAAGTAGAATAAGAAATAAACTGGGAACCTGGGTTCTGCTCTAATTAACTATGTGACCTGGGATGCATCTGTTACCCTCTTTAAGCCTCCCCTAAACACATCCCTCCCACTTTTCCCAGCTCCCATTCCCATTTATCTGCCTATCACTTGGCAACTATAACCACATTGTAATTAAATTTTCCTAAGATTTCCTTGAAAAACCCAAAGACAAGGAACTTCTCTTAGTTCCATTTGCATCTCCAGGGCCGAGCATAGGGTCAGACACATAAGTAGCTGTTTAATGGATAAATTTGTTGTGTGGATAATTGAAAAACAAATGAGCCCTAATTTCACTTCTGTCCAAATGAGACTAGGTTCTCCTCAAGGTGTCTCAGGTTTTGCTGTTTCCTGAGGCTCTCAGCTAACTTACAATGGAGCAGGACACACTGAGCTGAGGAAGGCAGGGATGGGACTCTGGGGATAGGTGACCAATTCTCTTCCCCAACCCTGTTTTCTCTGTCTTTTGGTCCCCTCCCCTCTTTTCCCCACAGAACTCTTCCTCACACACTTATTTATCTTTTCCTCTTTCTGCATGCTGGTTCTTAGGGCTCCCTGGAATAATCCAGAAGTTGATTCCATCATGGCAGAACTCAAGGTGGATGTGCGGGCCAGCGTAGACTGGCAGAAACGCTGTGTGGCTCTGGAAACCCAACTTTTCCGGTTCCGCCTACAGGCCAGTAAGATAAGGGAGCTGCTGGCTGACAAGGTGAGTCCCACAGAGCAGAGCAGAGCAGAGAGCTGCCTCTCCGAAGGCAGGCAGAGGTTTATGGCAGGGAGGGGCAGAGGTTTATGGCAGGGAGGGCTGCATGAGAGGGAGAGTTGGGGAAAGTCAGCTTTCAGTAAGATGCCTTTTCCCCCATGCAAAATGAAACCCAAGGTAGTTTAAGACCAAACTGAGCAGTTGACTAAGCTGTTATATTGCTTGCGTCTTTGCTCTGCTCCCTCATAAGGCACACCAAAGACATGTTACCGATCTTCTGGGTCCCCCATCACTTTTGGAGTCACCTGTGGCTGCGATGGAGAAGTTCTATTATTCTCTTAACATTTCTTTCTTTCTTTTTTTTGAGATGGAGTTTCGCTCTTATTACCCAGGCTGGAGTGCAATGGCGCCATCTCGGCTTACTGCAACCTCTGCCTCCTGGGTTCAAGCAATTCTCCTGCCTCAGCCTCCTGAGTAGCTGGGACTACAGGCTACGCCACCATGCCCAGCTAAATTTTGTATTATTAGTAGAGACGGGGTTTCACCATGTTGACCAGGATGTTCTCTATCTCTTGACCTAGTGATCCACCCGCCTCAGCCTCCCAAAGTGCTGGGATTATAGGCGTGAGCCACCGCACCCGGCCTATTCTCTTAACATTTCTTTCTCAATGTGGGGAAGGATGGTGTTTCAGGACCTTCCTCTCACCCTGTGCTAAATATATGCACTACAGAAGGTGATGGTCTGCTTTCCTGGTAACCAGGACACAGGTTGTGGAGCCAGACTAACTTGGCTCTGCCACTTATAGGCTATGTGACCCTGGACAAGTCCCTTCACCTGTAAGGCAAAAACACAACTGTCTACTTCGAAGAGTTATTTTGAGGATTATATCAGATCACATATGTAAAGGTCCTGACATAGAATAGGTCTTAAATGGGAATAATTATTTTCTTTACAGGTTTGGGTGGGCTGGTCTGGGAAACTGACCACCTTTCCCAGTGTTTCTAAGGGAGGATACATTCTAAACTGCTAACTTTCAGAGACATTCTGGAGCATAACCCATCTAGAGAGTAAAGACTTGCACTTAATAAAATTAAATGAATAAATCGTTATATGTATAGTTTTGTTTATAGTATCCATCTGCTTAGCAAACCCTTCTTTCAGAAGTACAAAGGGAAAATTCAGCTCACCCTTCTCCGGATTTCCAAGCCTCAATTAATAGAGCCTGAATGGATGGCCTGTGTTATTGATAGCTGGAGTCTAGCAGGACAAATCAGTGGCATCACCATGGCTGAGGGGAGTGGTCCTGGACTAGTCCGGACTAGAACTCTCAAATGTTCGGTCTGTTGGCATTGTTATCGCCTAACTCAGACTTTGCAAAACAAACTTGCAGGGCTCCTGCCAGGTGCTGCCAATAGAAAGGGATGAATCGGGAAAGGGCAGGAGACCTCAAGTGGTGATTCTCAGAGTATGGTCAGAAACGTTTTGCCAGAACCACCTAGAGTGCTGGTTAAGCATGCATATTCCTGGGTTCCACCTCAGGCCTCTCAATCAAAGTCTCCTGGGGGGTTGCTAATAATCTGCATGTTTAACAGGTTCCCAGAAAATGATTCTGTACACTATCAAGTTTGAGAACCCTGCCTTAGGCTGTGGTATTGTGGGAGGGACATGAGGGAAGGAAAGGGTAAGTAGGGATCGACTCAGCCAGGCAGTCTGAGATCTACCTCAGAGGGAAGAGACTTCAGTTTCTAGTAATAAGGACAATAAAACAAAAAACCCCACTATGAGTCACCTGGAAATACTGGGTTAAATATTTTAAAAATTCATGTAAATGGAGAGCTGAGCACTGAAAAGACTAAGAAAAGTCCTCAGGTAACAAAATGAAGAGGGAGAGGCCATTGGTACTCTGATAGCTGACTGAGCAGCAGGTGGTGTGTGGCTGGCCTCCCTAGAGTAATGTAAGGTTTGAAGTTAGAGTTTTAACATCTGTGGGGATAGAAATGAGGACTGGGCAGCTGGAGGTTGGAGCTGAAACAGACTTCCACATAAAGTCAAACTATTACTTCTTTTGATTAGTGTCATGTGAACAAAATTTAAAAATAAAAAATAGGACTATTGAAGGGCTTATCTAGACAAAGAAAGGAAAATCATTCACCGGTACAGGAGACGACAACAGCTTCTCAGACTTAGTTAAGGCTCTGGATAGAAAAACAAGAGGAAGTCTCCCCTGAGAACCTGATGACAACACTGTTTTAATGTTAGGATTTGTACTACCTTTGTGGTTTAGGAAACCTAAGTTCTGGGCCAGTTGATATCCCTAGGGAGCCTGGTAGAGACAGATATAATACCTCTCTGGAGAGATAAGACCTCAACTCAGATCACACAGGATCTGCACAGAAAAAAAAAGCCTTAATGAGGAGGAATATATAATCAAACATGACTAAATACTTGAATATTTAGTATTTACAATATACAGGGAGTGAGAATCCACATACACAAAATCAATTGAACTAGATCCCCAACAACTTCTAATAATGGAACTGTTGGCAAGAGACTATAAAATAAATGAGTTCAAAAATTTTGAAGATAAAACAAAGAAATTGAAAGCATAAGACAAGAACAAGACACTACCTAAAAAGATCAGGTAGACTTGAAAACTAAATAGAACTTTTAGAAATGAAAGTGTTTTCATTGAAATTAAAATGTATTAATGGATAGATTAAACATCACATTAGGCACCATGGAAGATAGACTTAACAGACAGGAAGACAGACCTAAGGAAGTTATCCAGAATGCTGCCTACAGAAATAAAGATACAGCAGCCGATACCTGGATATTAGAATGACAAGGTCCTATATCTACCAAATAAGATTCCAAAAGTGGAGAAGAAAATGAAGGAAAGGTATTACTTGAAGAGGTAGTAGCTGAAAAGTTTCCAAACTTGGTGAAAGATGTGAAGCCTCAGATTCAGGAAGCAGAATAAGTCTAATCAGGGTACTTACTTACTTAATTATTTATTTATTTAATCTGAGACATACTCTTGCTCTGTCGCCCAGGCTGGAGTGCAGTGGCATGATTTCAGCTCACTGCAACCTCTGCCTCCTGGGTTCAAACAATTCTCCTGCCTCAGCCTCCCAAGTAGCTGGAATTACAGGTATGTGCCACCATGTGCACCTAATTTTTGTATTTTTTAAAGTAGAGACAGGGTTTCACCATGTTGGCCAGGCTGGTCTTGAACTCCTGACTTTGTAGTCTACCTGCCTCAGCTTCCCAAAGTGCTGGGATTACAGGCATGAGCCACCGTGCCTGGCATCAGGATAAATTTTTTAAAATCACAGTTTGGTTAAATCACTGTTTGGCTGCTGTAAGAAAGAACTGCAAATAACAATGACTTAAACCAGGCTGATGTTTCTTTCTTTCTCATGAAACCTTCTAGACATAAGCAATCCACCTCTGTGATGTCCTCTGGGTATTTGAAGCTAGGTCACCTGATATTCACATTCCAACCTCTTCCCTTTAATTAGTGACTCAGAGGTTTCATACCTTTCTTTTGCTGATATCCCACTGGCCAGGTCTTATTCACATGGTTATACCCAGCTACAAAGAAGGTTTGTACATTTCTACAAACAGAAATATAGTCTTTATTCTGAATAACAATGTGCTAAACTAAAAGTTGAGGGTTCTATTTATATGAGAAAGAAAGATAGCATAGATAACAGGGAAAAACCAGCAGTCTTTAAGTCTAGAATAATAGAAGGAATAACAAATAGAAACAGAGTATGTATACCTCAAATCAGTAGAGTGAGGAAATGAAAAAAGGAAAGCCTATTAAATCCAGATAGGGACAAGAAAATAATATATCAAAAAAAGGATGTCAGGTACAGTGTCTCATGCCTGTAATTCCAGCACTTTGGGAGGCCGAGGTGGGCGGATCATGAGATCAGGAGTTCAAGACCAGCCTGACCAACATGGTGAAACCTCACCTCTACTAAAAATACAAAATTAGCTGGGTGTGGTGGCCTGCGCCAGTAATCCCAGCTACTCAGGAGGCTGAAGCAGGAGAATTGCTTAAACCCAGAAGGCAAAGGTTGCAGTAAGCCAAGTTGGTGCCACTGCACTCCAGCCTAGGCGACAGAGCAAGACTCCATCTCAAAAAAAAGAAAGAAAAAAGAGTAAACAGAAGGAACAAATGAAGTGGCAGAAATAAATCCAAATATATTGGTCACAAGGTGACATATATATTGTAGCATTGGTGTATGAAAAATTGGAAACATTCTAAATGTCCAACAGAGGGATGGATAAACATATTTAGTGTATTTGTATGGTGGAATACTATATTGCAATTAAACATGATTCAAGTAGAACTACATTTGTAAGATCAGTAAATCTCAAAAATCAGCATTGAACTAAAAACATCTGAAGGATATAAACAGCATCAAACAGTTTATGTAATTCTAAAAACCTGCCAAGACAGTACTATTTGTTGTTTCTCATCCCAGATCCACACTCATGGATTTTCTATATTTAGGAATAAGCATATGGCTTCTTTTTTTTTTTTTTTTGAGACAGAGTTTTGCTTTTGTTGCCCAGGCTGGAGTGCAATGGCGTGATCTAGGCTCACTGCAACCTCCACCTCCTGGGTTCAAGTGATTCTCCTACTTCAGCCTCCTGAGTAGCTGGGATTACAGGCATGCACTACCACACCCAGCTAATTTTGTATTTTTAGTAGAGATGGGCTTTCTGTATGTTGGTCAGGCTGGTCTCGAACTTCCGACCTCAGGTGATCCGCCTGCCTCAGCCTCCCAAAGTGCTGGAATTACAGGCGTGAGCCACTGTGCCCAGCCTAGCATATGATATCAACTGAACAAAAGCTCTGCTGCTAAAAAAAAAAAAAAAAAAAAGTTGGAAACACTGTCTTAGATTACAGCAATTAGAACCATTTAATGGCTAACCTAGGGGTTGCAAAGTCAAATGTTTACAGGTAAGTTAGAGAAGTGAAGAGAGCCAG